TCCACCCAGTGCGCACACCCACCCTCACCTCCAGTTCCACCCAGTGCGCACACCCACCCTCACCTCCAGTTCCACCCAGTGCGCACACCCACCCTCACCTCCAGTTCCACCCAATGTGCACACCCACCCTCACCTCCAGCTCCTGGTTTGCACTCCTGTCACCTCCTGCCAGACTTTGGACGTTCATTCCAGCACTTCACACTAACTCCCAACCTTCTGACCTCAGGTCTTTGTCCAGGAAGGGCCACTTTTACCGTTGTGTGGATAGATTTCCCAGCCAGCTGACACGCGGGAAACACTTTTTTATCAGGTGCCTCTTTCTCGTGTGTCACTGACGAAGCTTATGAGTGCTGTGCCCTATCCCACTTTCCACGCCCTGTGCTTCTCATCGGGAGTGTGCAGAGCAGAGATTTTGGGGAGCGAGGGTGGGGTGCGGTGGCAGCAGCGATGGTCTGATTGTCCACACGCTTCGTTTGCACCAAAACTACGTATCGGGGGTAAGGGGGCGTAATGTGTGTTTTTCTCTTTTCCAGCTTCTGCACAGCTACAAGGACGTGTTCAGGTTTGTTTTTCAAGAAGTACCAGTCCAGCAGGCAACTGAAGGCGTCTCCCCCTTAGACCGCATCTTAGAACTGCCTGGCTGTGAATCTGGACAGCAACTGTGGTAAGGAACTTACGTTCTTACAGCAAGTCTGAGTTTATACTTTTGGTTGACCAACTGGACCTTTACAGAGAGCCCGTCTCTCCCGAAGTTCCCACAGCCTTGGGGTCATGGGGTCCTCATGAGGGACCAGGCAGCACGGGTCGATGCTCTGGCCATGGTCACCCCTCTCAGAGCCATGTTCACCTGGAACGAGGTGGACGGGGGGTACCACCTCCCGGCATCTCAGTGCGAGTGCTGGGCGTGCGGAAGGGCCTGGGGGCCTGGGCCGTGGGCACGGGGCCCTCCCGGGGGGCCTGACCGACTGATCCTCAGCCACAGAGAAGACATGCTGGCGCCCCTGAGGGACAGTGTGAACCCACAGGGTCAGCCAGCCGGAGTGCATCTGGCACTAGCGGCAAGGCTGTGGTCCCCAGGGCCCGTGCCCTGGGACATCACAGATGCAGGTGTGCGCAGATGGCCGTGTCCTCAGATGCGCTTTCACTGGGCACTGAGAGAAAGCAAGTGCAGCCCACTGCATGATGTGCAATGGTCGAAAAGCTCGAGGTCCGCTGAGCCAAGCCACAGGAGGAGGAGGTGAAAGTTGGTGTGAGCTGGCTTCCCTAACCCCGTGCCTTCTTTGTCAGAGAGTTCTGCACACCAGCCCTTCTGGGCTCCGGTCTTGGGTCCAGTCAGGGCCCGTCTCAGGGAGCCCCGGCAGGGGCGCGGAGACAGAGGCCTGGAGCCCGGAAGGCTGTCACCACCGTGTGCCCTCTGGATATGGTGCTTCCCCAAGGCGTGGGCCGGGCCAGCAGGCAGGTGGAAGGGCCTTTGGTGGCAGCATGAGCCTCAGACACCCAGAGACATGGGTGGTCCTGGGTGTCAGGCCTGGCAGGGCTGGACACTGGTGTGTGATGGGAAGTGGCTGTGACTTGGGTGTGAAAGCATGAGGACGGCTTGGACATGATGTGGGCACTTAGCGTAACTGCCCCTCCCGTGGTTCTTTGTGTGAACACCTTCCCTGCCCTCGCGGGAGCTGCGCTAGCAGCCGTGGACGGCACGTGGCCGATGGGGGGTGGCTCCTAGCTGTGGACAGCGCGTGACAGACTCCCAGTAGTCGTCTTCTAATCACTGCCCCACCCCTAGTTTTCAAGTGTCCCTGTGGTCCCTGCGATCACCAGGAACACAACCACGAAGCACCGGGCCTCCAGGACATCTGCCCCTTGGAGGAGCCGCTGAGCCGTGACCGTGAGCCCGGCGGGCCAGGGGAGGAGGGTGGGAGTGGGGTATTCGTCGGGGGGCACACGTCGTCTGAAGAAAGCAACACATGACTCGGCCCAGAAGGGAGCACTCTGTTCTCACAACCCCTGGGGGCAGGTGCCCTCTTGGCTTCTGTTCTGAAGGTTTCTCAGTCTCTTTAATGAACATATCTCTTTTCCAGTTCTGAATCTAGAAAACTCTGGAGAGCTCTTCAGAACACAAATAGCACGTCGGCCTCTCGATGCCTCGGGAGTGAGTCCCATTGCCAGGAAAACCTCTTCCTTGTTCTTGGAATAGACGCTGCTCAGAAGGTGAGTCAGGTGGACACGGGGCTCCTGGGGGTGCAGCTGGACTCCACAGCGACTTTGCCGGCCACCCTGAGGCCGCAGGGAGCCGTCTACACAGATGGCATGAGGGTAGGGGGCCTTGCTGCCAGAAAACAGCAGGTGGGGGAGAAAACGCACTGGTTTCCAGGGGTGGTGGTGGGGGAATGCAGCAACGCAGGCAGGGAAGGGGCGAGACGGGTCAGCTTGTCGGTGTCAGGACCTGCCCCGTGCCAGGCTGACAGATGTCCAGGTGCGGCCCGACCCTCGACACGTGGTGGAGGAGGCGCTGTGGCCGAGTGGAGGACAGACACAGCATGTGGGCCAGGGCGCGGGAGCTCCCAGCGGAGGGGAGGGTGGAGAAGTGCCCCCGGCAGCCGGGGCCTCTGCTCAGCGGCTGGGGACAGGGAGTGGCAGGTGCCCGCAGACGCGTTGGTGGCGTTAGCCACCAGGTGGGTCCCTAGCGCCTGAGGTGGGAGGCAGCAAAACTGGAGCAGAGAGGAGGCCAGTTACCAGAGAAAACGCAAATTGTATCCAGAGCAGTCTTTCAGCCATCAAGTTGGCAAAGACCCTTTTCTGGTTTTTAGTATTATGGAAATTTTCAAACGTGGAAAACCCAAAAGTGGCTGATGGGCCTCAGTGACAACGGGGGCTCCAGGATGGCTGCTGCTGGGCCTCGGGGTCACGTGGGGCTTGCCAGGAGGGACGTGAGGGCTGGAAGGAGCCAGAGGGGCCTGACGAGGCCACCCTGGCAGCTTGTGTAAGGAAAACAGCCTGGAGGATGGGGAAGGGGACAGGCAGCCTGAACGGGAGGTGGGGAGGTGGGGAGGTGGGGCTTCTCCAGGTGCAGCCAGGCTGGGGGTGGGCAGGGCTCACTCTGGAGGCGGTGGAAGACTTGAGGAGGTGGAGGGTCCTGCGGGTCTGGAGGGAGAGGGTGGCTATGAGCCTGGTGACAGGAGGGTGGGGACCATGACACCGAGTCATGACCATGTTGCAGTTTAATGGTGTGGTGTGCCAGAGGGGTCTGGGTTAACAAGGCAAACGCAGAGAAAGCGGTTCTTTATGTTCCTTCCCCTGGTGTGACAGTGGCTTGTCTCACTAGAACCTTTCCGGAGACCTGGGTCACATTCTGGAATGTTCTGACCTCCAAGAGCCTGAAGAACTGGGTGTGCCCACCTTCCGTCTGCAGCCCTGCAGAGCCCTGATCCAGACCAAGGTGAGCCGCCCCCCGGGACAGGCCACAGCCATGCTGGCCACGTGGGTCTTTGTGTTGGCACCTGCTACCTGAGTCTCATGGACTCGGGAGGAAGGAGCGCTGCGGCCATCTGGGGCTGGCAGAACACCCCCGGGCGCTGGGAGGTGCGCAGGCGTCATGGGCGACTGGTGGGCTGCAGGAGGGGCTGCAGGTAAGCAGCAGGGCAGGGGGGTGAGGGGCGCTGCAGGCCCCACTGGGGCAGCGGGAGGGAGGGGTGCACCGACAGGGCCTTCTCCTGCTGCCCTCTTCTGAGGACAGGGCACAGCTTTTCCTGGGAGTGGGGGCGCCTGCCCACTCATGGGCCAGGTATTGTGGGGAGCAGTGCCCAGCCTGCAGGGGTCTGTTTCCCCCGGGACCCGGAGCACAGGTGGGGTTCACTCTGCATGCACCCCTGCCCCAGGAGAGTAGTGGCACCTGGGGGGTGTCCACCGCCAGGGTCTGTTCTGATGGTGGTTGGTGTGGACAGCGAGTGCAGGGGAGGCCCCTTGTCATCCAGCTGCACGGGCCAGGGCCATCTCCAGGACGTCCAAGCACTCTGGTCCATCTGCTCTTTGGGAAAGCCCACAAGGCAGGAGGTAGAAACTTCTAGAGCTGCAGGAAGGGGCCATCTTAGAGCAGCAAGACACAGAAATGTCCATCGCAGCATCGTTCACAGTTGCTTACATGTCCACAGCGGCTAGTAGGTGGAAATCCATGGACACTGCAGACGAGAGCAGGAAGGGCCCTGTGACCCCAACTAAGCCCTCAGGACAGGGTCATAGGATCACCTGGGATGAGGAGGCCTGCATGGCCCTGGGCACACAGTACGGCTGTCCTCCCAGTGTGGTGTCCCCTTTGCTCCGGGAGAAGCCACGGAGCTGTCCGCTCCATCCCATGCGCCTCCGTGTTTGTTGACTGCACCATGACAGGAGCTTAAGGCAGGAGAGAAAGCCACACGGGGCCCAGCGGCAGGTGCAGCAGGCCAGTCCCAGGGGCAGACAGCCCACTGGCCTCTGTAGGCCCTGACCATGCCCTTCCTTTCCCATCAGCTCTCAGGGACGTCCGGTGGCAGACAGGGGAGCCTGCTTGCGTGCAGCCTCTTTCTGAAGACCCCCTTACACAGACATGGGCAGTACCTCACAATTCCATGGAAAAAGAAGATTTTCAATCCACGTAACCTAAAAATGACCTTGTTTAATAGTGACATTTGCTAAAACGGGAGTACTTTGTATTTTTATCAGTTTTACATTTTCTTACTGGCTTGGTTTGGTACTGGAAACCGGAACTGTTTTGTGGGCATGTTTCCGGGGACGCCCTGTGCGCACCCAGGCTGCGCCCCCTGGTGCATTTTGGGGTGTGACCACTTTAGAAGAGCGTGTCCTTTGGCAGAGCCAGTCTCAACAGGAAGGGGGTGCCCAGGGTCCCCAGGAGCTCCGCCCCAGCATGATAGGAACCAAGGTGGCACTGGGGGCCCTCTGCCTGGTGCAGGTGCTGCCGGCCCCTGGGGGCACCCAGGGAGGAACCCCAGGCCTGGCTGCCCACGTGGCTCCGCCGGGGGCACAGCCAGGTGGCCTGGCTCTCAGCTGGAACTGTCCGCAGGAGGCAGGCGCCCACACGCTCAGGGAGTCTGGAGCACGTTCCTGTCACTCCCGGGGGAGAGCGAAGGCCCTGGGAGCACTTACCTGCACCACTGCCTGTCGGCAGCCTTTCTCTGCGCCCGGCCCTCCCCTCCGACTCCGAGCAAGCGCTCTCTGGTTCTGGTGGAGGCACTGATTTTTGTAAAATTTTATTAAATAAAATGGCCTGGACAAGCCCACGTTCTTGCTGGTTCATCTGCTCCATGGGGACTGTTGCCAGAGGTCCTGCGGCTGCAGGCTGTCCCTGCCCGAAGCCCCTGGCCGGTCCGTCTGGCAGAGCCCGGCTCCCAGGGCTGTCCCGCATGCGTGGGTCACACTTGCTGCCTGGAGAGCGCGGATGGGGGCTGGCCTCAGATGCCAGCTCCGTCAGCCCCGGAGTCAGACCCAGACAGTGACCAGCAGATGTCGCCCGTCACGGGGAGAAGGGCGCTAGCGGTCACTCTCCACCAGACTGCAGGTGTCTTATGTGAAGGGGTAATCAGATTTTTTTTTAGTGCTGTAGGTTTGGGAAATCTGCCCTCATTTTTCTTTTTCAGCCAGAAAGAGATGGAAATTTGGAAACTGCTTTTCTGCCACGCTGCTTCCACCACAGGGTAGCGTCCGCCCTGGGATGTGCCATCATTTCCCAGCCTTTGGTGCAAGTCAGACTTGAACCCAAAATAGGCCGTTCTGTGTCCTGCCTCCTCCCCCGAGTCACTCTCGGACGCGGGCACTGGACTCCCCACAGCTGCTCCCCTGCCCCGTTGCTGGCGGACCTCTCCTGACCCCCAGCCAGCCCAGCACCCCCAGCTCTGTCCCCCACGCCAGAGGCCAGGGCTGTCTCTGTCCCTCAGTCCGCGTCCAAGCAGACATCAAGTCTGGCTCTGATGCTGTGTCTGGGTGCCTGGCCAGGCTGCTCAAGGAGGGGCCTTCTGAACCGGGAGAGTGAATGCTGACTGGTCCCCTCTGGTTCAGAGGCTGCCCCTGTCACCCCGCCCGGAATGTGCCCCGTCAGCTACAAAGTCAGGGTTCAAAATAATCACAGAGCTGAGGATATCAAGGAACCTACATTAATGGAATTCAGTGCCCCCAGGGGCAGAGAGGGAGGAGGGGGACCCCAGGGACCCTCGTGCAGCTCTCGGCCTTCACTGAGTGCTCAGAGTGGGGTGCAAGGAGAGAAGGCTGACAGAAAATCCCCAAGTAGAAGCCAGCCTCTCTCAGAAGTGGGGGCTGGAGAAGCGAGAGACCCCCTCTGAGGGGTCTTCTGGGGTTCTTGCCACCCGCTCTAGAGGCTCCGTGGGGCAGCTGGGCCCCTGCCTGGGCGCTCCAAGCCATGGCGGGCTGGAAGGACCTGGAATGGGGGCAGAGGGAGCCTTCAGTGATCTGCAAACATGGCACTGGACTCTGCAAGGCAGGCTGATGTCCAGAGCCTGGCCAGGGCTCAGACGTCGGGCCCCGCTGAGCAGCAGCCCTGCCGGCACCTGGAGACGCGGGAAGCCTCTGGGAGCTGCAGCAGGGCTTGGGCCCAGCCCGATGGCGGGCGAAGACTCAGCCCCTCCAGGAACCTGACGGCTCCTCGCTATGGACCTCAGTCTCCGCTGTTCTCTTACCGAGTGCTTCGCAGTCAGCAAGACATGGCAAGACCACGAAAATGCGAGAACCCCTGATCCCTGGTGGACAGGAGCAGAGGCAGAGATGGCCCAAACGGTGCAGGTCCGAGACCGTAAAATGGCGTTGGACGAAGTGGTGAGGATCCAGTGGGAAAGGGGAGCACACACGGGAGAGACGCGGAAATCACACAAGAGAACAAAACGGAAGCGCCAGGAATGAACACTGTCACCCCACCCGCGAGCCATTCTTGAGAAGGGCCCGACGGCGGACCCGACACGAACAGTCCGTGATCGCGAACCGGTCAGTAGAAACCATCTGAGCAGGACGCAGAGGGACAGAAAGAGGGAGAAGACACAGGACGGGGTGCCCAGGACCCGGGGGCTGCGCCAGGCGATGTGCCCCTGCATCATCAGAGGCCCAGAAGCAGAACCCCAGAGGAGAGAATGGCTAAGAACTCTCCGACGCTGACGAGAGCCACAGACCGGCGGCCCAGAGCAGGATCCACTGGAAGAAGACCAGACCTGCGCTCTGAGCCTGCAGGAGCCCAGCCTGGAGGGACAGGGAGCTCCGCATGTCCGGACGGCTCAGACGCAGGCCGGCGGAGGCCTCGGCCGCCGTGCAGGGCTCTGGCCCCTGGCGCCCGCAGGCTGGAGGCCGCGTCCGAGTGCCTGGACCAGTCCAGTAAGCGGCCCTGCGGGGAGGATGCGGCCACACGGGGAGGACACAGGTGGGACACCATGAGAGAGACGCTGGAGGGGCCACCGTGACCGCGGGCCGGGGTCGGGGAAGGAGGCGAGCATAAGAGCCATGAGCAAGGCTGTCGTGTGCTGGCAAGAGAGAGATTTAGGTTCAAAGAAAGTAGAAGAAAGGAAGTGAGGACAGCAGAAGCCAACGAGGGGAGCCAGGGCCCAGTCCTGGATGCGGAGGCCTGTGGTAACGCGCACCTGGGACTGAGCCAGATGCGCCCCGACAGCCGGTCACCCGCCCTCCCCCCGATTCGGCTGCGTGTGGCACCCCGCTGACAAAGGTACAGGGAAAGGACAGTGGGGACACGTGAGTATGACTGCGTGTCGGCCGGTGGGAAGGAATTAGTGTTCCTTTTCTGACCACGACACGGGATTGCAGTCCTGAAGTTTCATATGTATTTACAGGCAAAACGTCTCCACATCTCAGACCTGCGTTAAGCTTCTTTAAGGAAGAAACAAGACGGTTCACAGCTGGTCACCACTGGCAACAGGCACCAGGCCGGTTCCCTGGCTCTAGAGTGTGTCTGTGTCCACTCTTACAGGGGACCTTTCTCCGTGGCCAGAGGCCCCCCTCCCTGAGAGTCATCGTGCCCCCGTCCCCAGGCTGGCCTGCAGCAAGCAGCGCAAGCCCCTCGGCTGCAGGTGGGGGCCCGGTGGGCAGGGTTTCAGCAGGGCCGTTCCCTGTCATCGGAGCCCCTCAAAGCCGGCCACCGGGTCTGTCTGCAAGGACGACCCAGGGCTGAAGCAGGGGCTCTGAGCACCAAGCTCCCGGTGCAGGTGGCTTCTGAAACTCGGCGGGGACCCCGTGGGTGGGCACTGGGTGGGCGGGGACCAGGTAGGGGGGCAGCCCACAGGAGGGGCGGGCGCCGGAGGGGACACTGTGTCTCAGCTGTGTCTCAGCGGGCTCAGGCCACTAGAACAGAGCGCCACCACGCGCGAGCCTGGACAAGCTCCTTCCCACAGTGCTGCAGGCGGGGAGTCGCCGCGGGCCTCTCCTGGTTCACGGCTGCCTTCGCTGTGCGTCTGCGGGGCAGAGGGCAGCCGGGAAGCAAGCTGTCACATCTCCTCTGACAGGGGCTCGAGCCCATCATGAGGGCACCTCCCGGAGGGCCCCTCCTCACGCCAGCACAGTGAAGTTAGATTCCAACATATGAATTTGGGGCACGTGAACAGTAGTCCAGTAACACATAGGCAAACCCCAAACCACCCCCGGGGAATCATCCTCTCCGTGCCTCCTCCAGTAAGCACACGCACGCCCCCATCCGCGTGCACGCGTGCCGACCAGCCTCCCCGGGGAGCCTTCCCTATCCGGCTGGGCGGGCCCCCACAGCAGGGCCACGGACAGGGAGCTCACCCACGTCTCCGTCCTCACCGTGAGGCCTGGGCTTTGGGCAGACAGGCGCTGGCTGAAGAACTGGGCCAGGCCCCTGACCTTGCCCCACCCCTGGCCCTGGGCTGGGTGGATCCCGGGACACAGGGCAGAGAGGCCCCCTCAGCATGAGGGGACTCGGGGTGCTCAGCAGCTGCTCGGGGCCACCGTGGACGCAGGCTCCCTTCCTTGTTGTGCCCTCCCCGGGAGGGGGCTGTCCTGCATCTGGGGCCTCGGTGCTGATGACGCTCTCAGGCCGGTAGCCTAGGCGGGAGAAGAGCGAGACCCCGGCCAGAGGCCCTCTGGAGGCTGGCTTCCAGGGGTTTGGCCCCTCCAGTGCAGGGGCAGGAAGCACAGCCGGGCCTGTGCCCGGCTCTCGGCCCTGGCTCATCTGCCATCCGGTAGGTGGGGCCCCCATGGAGCAGCACCTCCTCGGGCCCAGCGCCCGGCCACCCCGCTAGGCTCAGCTCAGCCGGCTCCGACATGCGCAGCAGGTGCCGCCCACGGCCGTTCCGACGCTGGCCTCCATGTAGGGGCAGTGCCCCAGGGACGACAAGGCCAGCGCAGGTAGAGAAGGCCACACTGCGCTGCTGGGCGACAGCCCCAGGCCCCCACCCCGTCAGTGAGCTCGCTAACCTCCCCAAGGAGCGCCCCGCTGCAGTTTATAGACTGGGGGGCTTTTTTCCCCAAAGACTACAAAACTACAAGTACAAAATTAGCCACAAAAAGAGAACAGAACGAGAAAAGAAACAGTTTCCAAGAATTTAAAAAGGCGATAGCAAGAAACGTCACAAACTGCAGGAAAGCGGCGCTCTGACTAACCACTGCCTGTCTCCACGCTCCCACGGGGCCTCTCGACTGCACTTCTTAACCCCCGAGCCCTGTGACAAAGCTGTCATCCCATCACTTGCTATCCAGAAAGACAATTCCACGTACGTTTACGACTGCTGGTTCAGAGGCTCTTCCAACATAAGGTCCATCGGCGGCCACAACGTGCGACCTTCGTGTGACCTTCGGGGCTGTCAGGGCGAGGCCCCTCTGGAATTTTTCACAGGCCGGCTGTCATCCCTCAAACCTGCTTCCCCTCCCCCAGGCTCCGGGGGACAGCGGCAGGGCCCCCGCCCGCCCTGGGAGCCACAAGCCAAGACAGCAGGGGCAGCGGGGTGGCAGGCATACCCGAGGCCCGTCCTGGCTGAGGAGGGCGGGCAGAGGCTCAGCCATGCTCGGGAGCAGCAGGGAACATGCAGCCGAGACCCGCTGCCCTCAAACCCGGCTTCCCCTGCCCAGAGCCCAGAACCGCAGAGCTCCCCTGCCCCACCGGAGAGGCAGCAGGAGAGGTGGGGTGAGGACAGGAGCCTTAGCATGCTGTGGCCGACAGCGGCGCTGGGACGGCCGGAGTCCTGCACGTGCAGGTGGAATGCATCCTCGGCAACTGGCCACCTGCCTCTGCCCCTCTCTGGAGGC